GCGCTCTATACGTAAGGTACGTGTATCTTCATTCCTGATCCTGATTCGATAGCTGAAATCTTGAGTATATGGTTCGGATATCGCACGCATTCCAGACCAATGAGATAGGGAGCAATAGTCAGGTATAAGAGAAAAAATATAGACGAAAATTAATGACAAGTGTTTCGTCGTATTTACATGTCAAACTTTGACTAGTCGTCAGTCTCTGCCTGCTTATATTTTAGCCTATAATTTATGCTATATACTCAGGTACAGTATTCTTTGCAAAATGTTGATCAACGAGTATTCACATCAATTTACACCGAGCTGTGGGCAAAATTTCGTGTCATGGACATCATGACTGTTTCATCATCATGCAGCCCAATAAGGCTTAACTCTGATTTGCCTAGAAGATTAATCTATATACCACTGAGGAAGAGGTACACACCGTATACCACCGAGGAAGAGAATACACTATTCACAATATCAAGGGGTTTGGAATTGGACGTTCCGTAAACGGTACTGGACATAAAATAATGCGCTACTGTTTACCTTCCTCCAGCCTATGATCCTGTCTGTGAGTCATCATCCTTTGTAGAGAGTAAGCGGATTGCCCGTGGTAGGTGTTATTGCATAAAATTTAAAGACATGACAGCAAATCAAGATCTTGTGAGAATGCGAGGACCTGAACGCTCTTTGCTTACCTCCTGCTATTCCGCTTCATTTTAACCCTTAGGTATTTATGTTCGCAATGACTCCTATCCTTGAAACGGGCGGTATATAGTTAGAAACTTATTCCATTCCCCTTGCGTGTATAAAAAAGCAATACCGGAGCCCAGTCCACTATTGCGTTTGATAATGGCCTTAAAGAAAAGAACGATACCTCGCAATGATTACTGTGTCGTGACTGACTAGAAGCAGATGTATATCCTGATTCCATGGTTAGCAGAACGAACGACAAAAGAAAAATAATTATTTAAATACGTTTGGACTTTTCGACCAAGCGGGCATCGATCACCTTCGGAGAATAGAAAAATAGGATAGATACTTTCAATTATTCGCAATGTTTGCAGCCTGAAATTCCTTCTGATCGGCTTATCGGTCTGCCCATCGGGGTGGTAGCTCACCGGGATGGATTCTTAGAGACGACAGTTATTAGTGTTCGGTATATCCCAGTCATCTGATCTTGGATTTACTTATTTCCGTTTACTGCCTGACCCTGCAAAGAGTTTATTTTGTGAATCTCTTCACTAACGTCACAAAAACATGTTAACTATCGCAATTTGGATACTTTGATCTTTGGTAC